TAGTGCGACGCGGGCTCCGCCCTGGACCACGGGCGGCGCGGGGGCCGGATTTAAGAGCCTCCGGCTCAAGCCGCCGACCCCGCTGGAGCATAGTTGAAACGTTTAAACGCGTTCATTAGGGCAAAGGATGCCAAAGTTGGTGGAGGGGGGGGTAGGGGGGTAGGGGGGGGGGGGGGCGCGGGGGCGGGAGGGGGGGGGGGGGGCGTAGGGGGGGGGTAGGGGGGGGTTGTTCTTAAAAAAGGCCCCTTTGTCCTGTGGCAAACCGCAGGTTTTCACCTCCTTTTCCCATCCAACACGCTGCCAGGGTCGGCGGACCCTGTACTCTGAACCCTGAACCCTAAACCCTAAACCCTAAACCCAAAACCCAAAACCCTATGCCCTGAACCCTGAACGCTAAACCCTAAACCCCTGAACCCCAAACTGCATCCTGTCGTGACATGCCCTGAGGAACGTGTGGAGTTCATCCCAGTGCTTCGTCAAGGGCACAGGCACCCGTATGTGGGGCATGCTTGGGTTAAACAGCTTGCGGCAGAGAATTTAGGGTTTGGGGTTTAGGGTTTGGGGATTAGGGGGATGGTAGCTTTGGGTTTAGGGTCCAACATTTGGGGAAGAGGGTTTAGGGTTGTAGGATTCGTGGTTGAGGTTGCAGCATGTGCCTGAAACCATACATCGCTGGGCTTCACAGCGGCTTGTAGGACGCTTTGGCTGATAAGGTTCGGCGCCCTAAACCCTAAACCTCAAACCCTAAACCGCAAACCCTAAATCCTAAACCCTGAACCCTAAACCCTAAACCCCACACCCCAAACCCAAAACCCTAAACCCCAAACCCCAAACCCTAAACCCCAAACCCTAAACCCTAAACCCTAAGAGGCGCCCCAGGCTTCATGACCAAGTCGGGATCCAGAAGGTGGCGTGGCCCTGCCGCAGTGGGCACTCCTCTCTCGAATCAGGGGCGTCTTCGTAGGGTTTAGGGTTTAGGGTTTAGGGTTTAGGGTTTAGGGTTTAGGGTTTAGGGTTTAGGGTTTAGGGTTTTTCGGGTTTAGGGTTTTTCGGGTTTAGGGTTTTTCGGGTTTAGGGTTTCGGGTTTAGGGTTTAGGCAGGGCGGCTTGACGATTTCGTATGGTTTGGTAGGCTTGAGAGGCGAGGGGCTTATTCGGGGTGCTCATAGGGTGTCGGGTCATGGCTTGCTAGCTTTTGCTGAAAATGCCAGTTGTCTTTATCTCCGAAAATGCAGGGTACCCTCCACGTACATCATATACCCCAAAATACTATAATAATCCTGTTAAGGGAACCCCAAAAACGGTACCCCTATTCTCGGAAACCCTCATGTTCCTTAGCAAGAACCCAGCCTGTTCAACCCTGAGCAAGACTTGAGACACCCAGTCTCCATTTCCACCCCCTCATCCCAAGCACTCACAAACACTTATGTGAATGAAATAACGCTTTCTTGAACCTTGAACCTTAACATGCAACACCTAGGAGCCGTGAATCCTAAAACGAGAAGCCCTAAACCCTAATTACACCCTAAGCCTAACCCCTAAACCCTAAACCCTTGCTCCTATAGACCCGACCCTAACCCCTAAAGTCAGCTTCCTTGTCCTGAAAGGTACTTGGGCCCGCGATGAGTGCCGCGAAGCCTCAAATGTGGCTTTTGCCCGCCGGCCTCAAGCAGAAGTGGTTTAGGGTGTAGGGTTTAGGGTTTAGGGTTTAGGGTTTAGGGTTTAGGGTGTAGGGTTTAGGGTTTAGGGTTTAGGGTTTAGGGTGTAGGATTTAGGGTTTAGGGTTTAGAGTTTGGGGTTTGGGGTTTGGGGTTTGGGGATGTAGGGTTGTCGGGTGTTGAGGGGGCATAGGGTTTTAGGATGATTTTGGTTTTCAGGGTTTAGGGCATGCTGCTTTCAGGTTTCAGGGTTTGGGCCCTGGACGGCACTTCTGAAAACTTACTCCTATTTGGTTGGGGGGGGGGGGCTGGGGGTGGTCTCAAAAGCACGACAGAGTGCGAGAGCGTCGTGTCAGGGTGATGTTCTGGCATCTGCATGGAGGTTGGTTTCGGGCGCAGGAAGACTTAGCGACGCATAAGTCTTCACACGTGCTGACCCCAAGCCCCTTAACACTGAACCCTGAACTCCCAATGGAGCCCCTCAACCCTAAACCCTAAACCCTAAAGCGCCCCGCAGCTCTAAGCGCTAATGACGCTGGACCTGGCACCCCCCATAGGGATTAGAGCATTTTAGGGTCTTGAGGAATCTTAGGGTTGGAGGGTTTGGGGAATCAGGGGTTTAGGAAGCCTCGGCCACAAGGTGAAATGCTGCGCCGACCGTGACTTAGTCATGCGCCTGGGCGGCAGAAGTTCGAGGGGCCTCCGATGCCGTTTCGGTCGCCGTGCTTGGCGTCCTTCTTAGGGATGGAAATGCAGCGTTTTAGGGAACCCCCCGAAACTCCAACCCTAGACCCTAAACCCTTAAACCCACAGCCCTAGTGGATTGTACCCTTGGGCCGAACTGACGAACTCTGTCGTTAGGGGGCGGGGGGGCCGGGGGGGTGGTGGGGTGGTGTGTTCGAGCTTGAACCCCTGGATTCTGGGGATACGAACGCCCCTATCCCTCATCCCATGCTGTGTTTGGGGTTCAGGGTTTTTCCTTTGAAAGTTGAGCACCATCCGCTTTGACCACACCTAGACCTTAAACTCGTAAACGCCTGAAACCCTAAACCCTAAACCCTAAACCCTAAACCCTAAACCCTAAACCCTAAACCCTAAACCCTAAACCCTAAACCCTAAACCCTATACCCAACAAGAAAGAAAGAGACCGGGAGGCCGGTGGCTGGGATGCTGCCTGAGGCGCAGGCCTGGATGTGAACTTGTTTAGGGTTATAGGGTTCTAGGGTTATAGGGCTATAGGGTTATAGGGTTTCGGGTTTAGGGTTTAGGGTTTAGGGTTTCTTTGGATCCCGAAAGAGGCACCTGGTTTCGAGTTGGGCCATCTAGGGTATAGGGGGGGTTTAGGGAGTCGCCTTAAACCCTAAACCCACATGAACCCTTAAGACTTGTTAGAACTCTTATGAACCCCGATGAACCGCCCTGTGAAACATCTGAACCTGATTCCTTGAGCCCCAGAGCTGCCCTACGAGCCCTTACTTGGAGCTTCAGGGTACTTGTGACCCAACTACAGGCGTAGTTCTAACCCGCTTGTAAGACCCTTAAGTACCCTGATAGGGTTATAATTGGGGTCTTAAGTACAGTTAGGGTTTAGGGTTTAGGGTTTAGGGTTTAGGGTTTAGGGTTTAGGGTTTAGGGTATAGGGTTTAGGGTTTAGGGTTTAGGGTTTAGGGTTTAGGGTATTGGGCTACCAAGTACCCTGAACCTCCTTCAGTCGGGAAGTGAGGGTCTTGCATCCCGGGGGTTCGGGGCCTGGCCCTAGGCACCCTAAACCCTAAACCCTAAACCCTAAACCCTAAACCCTAAACCCTAAACCCTAAACCTCAGGGCTTCCGGGCTTGTGGGGCAGCCCCTACACCCCCCCCCCCCCCCCCCAAAAAAAAAAAAAAAAAACAAAAACACGCAAGGTCCGTGACCCGAAGCCCTCCGCGGTCTCAGCCCTAAACCCTATAGGCCCCAAACCCTGAGCCCTGAACCCTAAACCCCAAACCCCACACCCTAAACCATGTAAGCCCCAAACCCCTAAGCCCTAAACCCCAAACCCCAAACCCCACACCCTAAACCCCAAAACGCCAAATTCTATATCTTGATGGAAAAAATCCATGAACCGAATTCTGTAGCAGATGTAGCCTTGAGCGCAAACTTCCTTCAGCCACGGGGCGACGTGAAGTGGAGGCCACCGATCCCGGAAGCCACGGCACCTTGTCCTATCCGTTTGGTTTAGGGTTGAGGGTTTAGGGTTCAGGGTTCAGGGTTCAGGGTTTAGGGTTTAGGGTTTAGGGTTAGGGGTTAGGGTTTAGGGTTCAGTGTTTAGGGTTTAGGGTTTAGGGCTATACTTTATTTTTTTGTTCTGGGTTCCTTTTATGGCTACTTATGCCTGAAAAGTACATACTTTCTTTCCAGGGCACCCTACTCCAATGTAGGGTGTCCTATCCGTTTGGAGTTGGGAGTGTGCCTTGGGCCCACCCCCTCCCCCCCCCCCTCCCCCCACCCTCCTGCGCCCTCAGACGCAAAGGTCAGGGATGGGTTCAGGGTTTACAGGGTTTTAGGGTTTTAGGGTTTTGGGGTATAGGGTTTTAGGGTTTTGGGGTTTTCGGGTTTTCCTGTCTTAGGGTGTTAGTGTGTTAGGGTTTTGGGGGTTTTAGGGTTTAGGGCTTTAGGTTTTTTTTTGGGGTTTTAGTTTTTTAGGCTTTTAGGTTCTGGTTTCAGGGCCTAGTTCTGGGTCCAGTCTACTTCGGTCTGAAGCCACCAGGCTGATCAGCCGCTTCGCTATCAACACGGCTTCGAAAGGGTAGAACATGTTGGGATGTTCCCCCTTACGCAAACAGCCCTTATTAGGGAATGTAGCACCCGCCCCTATTATAATCCTCATTAAGGACTCTTAGAAGAAGAAGCCAAAGAACATGCATCAAACCCTCCTCCCCCTTTGGATACTGAGCCCCTTTTTATCCTTCCGGAGGGAAGACTGCTACAGGCAGATCCTAAACCCTAAACCCTAACCCCTAAACCCTAAACCCTAAACCCTAAACCCTAAACCCTAAACCCTAGACCCTAAATCTTGGCTTGCTCCAGAGGGGTGGCTTGGGGGAGTTGGGAGTTTGGGGTCCCGGCGTTTGGGCGGGGGTTAGGGTTTGCTGTCGAAAGTATGAGCCGCACCCTTAGCTCTTAAACCCAACGAAGTCAGACTCGTACCCCTAAGGTTGTACCCCTGAAGGTTTCCCTTAAGAGGCGCGACATATGGCCCTTATGCTGCCTGAGGGATCTTTACAAAGGGTCCTTGCTAAAGCCGAGAAAGACCGAGAACCCAGGGCTGTTCCACCAGTTCTCGGGGAGTACCTTGACGGCCATGGTCGTGGATGCTCGGATGGGCTTTCAGTCCCCTTCCCAAGAACTCAAAGGTGGGAGGGTTCAGGGGTTTAGGGTTTACTGTAGGGTTCAGGATTTAGGGTTTAGGGTAAGGGAACCCCAAGCAAAAAAAATGGGTTGTGGGGTTTGGACTGTTGAGTTGATCTTAGGTACAGCAGTAGTCATCACCCTGCAAATCTCGAGGCCCTGTATCCGAAACCCATAGCAAGCTCTGAGCCCTATGCCCTTCCCACAGATTGGGGCGTTAAGCCCTAAACCCTAAGCCCTAAACCCTAAACCCTAAACCCCAAACCCCTAAACCAAAGCTGCGCATGCCCCCAAGCACTATACACGAGACCCATGGAGGAAGGGCAACGCATTGAAAGGATCGACCCTTCACCCTAGACCCTAAACCCTACACCCTGAATCCCTAAACCCTACACCCCTGAACTTCCACCCCAGAAGCCCAGAGCCCCTACGATAGGCGTGCGGCCCTTGCTGGCGTGTAGGGTTCTTTTTCGGCTCCTCCGCCGAGGACAGCCCACGCCGGTACATCTTTGTGGCCACGGGACAGGAGGTAGCAAGAACACCCCTGAACGCCAAAGGGTTTAGGGTTAAGGGTTCAGGGTTTAGGGTTTAGGGTTTAGGGTTTTGGGACAGGAGGTAGCAAGAACACCCCCCGTGAACACTAAAGGAGTTTGGGTTTGGGGTGGTTCATGGTTTAGGGTTTAGGGTTTAGGGTTTGGTGTTAATTTAATAAGGGTTTAGGAAGACCCAAACCCTAACCCCCAATAAAAACCCTTCCTGCGCCAGTCGCAGAAGGCTTTTCCTGATGTCACCGCATTGAACCCCTCCTCCCGCCAACTAACGCTATACCTGCAAACGCCCAGCGCCATCAGGATTTGGGGTTCCTGGTCTGGGGGTTAGGTCCACCCACCCCCCCCCCCCCCCCTTCTCCATGCCCGCGACAAAAATGCACCGATAGTCAACCATCTCGACCTGCTGAAGCCTTCTCAGAACCCTCAAATTCCTTGAATAGAAATCATGTGTGTGGGGTTGAGGGTTTGACATCAACCCTATGTTCTTGAATCCCCAAAGCCCACTGCCATGAACCCGAAGCCCTAGCAGTTGACCTCTGAAACCAAAGCCCTGAACCCTACGCCTCAACAACTCATAACCCTGATCTCTAAACCCTAAACCCTAAACCCTAAACCCTAAACCCTAAACCCTGAACCCTGAACCCTGAACCCTAAACCCTAAACCCTAAACCCAAAACCCTAAACCCTAAACCCTAACCCCCAAAACAATCTCCAAACCCCCAAGAGCTCCCTATTTCCACGGGCAGGTCGTTGTCCTCTCGATGGGCTCCGCCCGGGGGATCGCGGCCGGCCTGCTGGGAGTCGAGGCGTGAGCTTTTGGTTTAGGGTTTAGGGTTTAGGGTTTAGGGTTTAGGGTTTAGGGTTTAGGGTTTAGGGTTTAGGGTGTGTCAAGGGAGGGCGCGCGCTCGGGTGTGAAACACCCCGGGCCGCGCGCTCGCGTTGCCCGTCAACCCACCCCGGCCACCCAAACTATACTCTATTAGGGTTTAGGGTTTATGGAATTTACTTTCTTGTGCTCTGATGCTTGCTTTGATGTTTTTAAAGTTGCGCTGTTAGGGTTTAAGCTGGGGTTGGGGGTAGCCTCGGCCCTTTTCGGGCCTTCGGCGTGTCAGGGCCCGTAGAGGCCCTTATTTATTTGAAGGTCAGGGAAACCCTTTGTGTCTGCTCCTGGATTCCCCTTCTTTAAGGGCCTCAATTAAGCATCGATTTCACTACCAAAAAATCGCATTTTTCATTGCGGGTACGGGCATCCTGGGGTCCCCCTTCTTTTAGGGGGCCTTTTGAAGCCTTTTGAAGTATTTTGGTGGCTCTTGGGGTCTCTCGGGGCCTTGTTCGGACCTTCGGCGTGTCAGGGGCCGTAGAGGCTTTATTCATTTAAAGGTCAGGGAACCTATTAATGAATTTTTCGCCAATGAGTCTTTCAATCGCTAGGGTTTAAGCTCGGGTTCGGGGTAGCCTCGGCCCTTTTCGGGCCTTCGGCAAGTTAGGGCCCGTAGAGGCCCTTATTTGCTTGAAGGCCTTCGTAGGGTTTTGCGGTGTTAGGGTTTAAGCTGGGGTTCGGGGTAGCCTCGGCCCTTTTCGGGCCTTCGGCACGTTAGGGCCCGTAGAGGCCCTTATTTGCTTGAAGGCCGTCGTAGGGTTTTGCGGTGTCAGGGTTTAGGCTGGGGTTAGGGGTAGTTTGGGTGCTTTTCGGGCCTTCGGCACGTGGGCCCGTAGAGGTCCTTGCTGATTTAGGGGGAGCCATCGATTTCAATACTAAAAGGCGGGCAGGGGCCTAAAAACAATGTTTTCAATATTCTCATTGTGGGCACGGACAAATCTTGTGGTCCCCCTTCTTTTAGTGGGCCTTTTGAAGCTTTTGAAGCTTTTGGTGGCTCTTGGCGCCTCTTGGGGGCTTCCTCGGCCCTTAGCCGAGCCCTGGTTGGGGGCCCTTGGTCCGGGGGCGTATTGTTGGGGGTCCTTGACTCAGGGTCTTGGCCGGTCCCTTGGCTTGGGGGGCCCTTGGCCTGGGCCCTTGGCTGACACGGACCTATTGGCCGGGAAGCCCTTGGCCCGGCAGGCCCTTGGCCGGCACCCTTGGCGGCTTCGGGGGGTCCTTGGCCTGGGGGGCCCTTGGCCTGTGAGTTGGGGGGGCCCTTGGCCCGGGACCCTTGGGCCGGGGGTCTTGGCCCGGCTGGCCCGCCGGGGCCCTTGGCCCGGGGGGCCCTTGGCCCGGGGGGCCCTTGGCCCGGGAGGCCCTTGGATTGGTCCAATGGGCCGGGGGGCCCTTGACCCCTGGGCCTGGGGCACCCTTGGCTCGGGGGGCCCTTGGCCCGGGGGCCCTTGGCCCGGGGGGCCCGGCCCTTGGCCCGGGGGGCCCTTGGCCCGGGGGGCCCTTGGCCCGGGGGGCCCTTGGCCCGGAGCCCTGGAAATCCGTGAAAAAGCCCCCAAAATCACGAAATTGAGCAACCAGCCTGCCTGGACCCCTCGCCAGCCTCCTGGTCAGGAATCCAGCTACCAGGGACCAGGGGGCCCCGGGGGGGGGGGCCCGACAAACCCTGAACCCAAAACCCTGAACCGACCTTCAGAGGCAAAGGGTTACGATTTGGGGTTATACTTTAGCTACGCTAAAGGTGGTCTGGGTGCCGGCCATCCCTTAGCCGAGTACTGACGTTGTCGTAAAAAAGGCCGATGTCCGTTGGCCTGTCCAGGACAGACGGTGAGGCTTAACCCTCACCTTTCCGTTTCTCTTTTCGCTTGGGCGCTCGGGCTGTAAGGCCCTCGGCCGAGCGTTCGGGGTCTGTCGCTCGACGGAAGCGACCCCTCACTTAGTTTAGGGCTTAGGGTTTAGGGTTTAGGGTTTAGGGTTTAGGGTTTAGGGTTTAGGGTTTAGGGTTTAGGGTTTAGGGTTTAGGGTTTAGGGTTTATAGGGCTTAGGGTTTAGGGTTTAGGGTTTAGGGTTCAGGGTTTAGAGTTTAGGGTTTAGGGTTTAGGGTTTGGGGTTTAGGGTTTAGGGTTTTTGGGTTGGATGCTCCCCCTTATACTGGCAGTCCTGAATAGGGACATAGTAGGGAGGGGTTACTAGAGTCTCCATTAAGGACTGTAGTATAAGGGGAGCATCTCAAGTTCGGGTTTAGGGTTTTGGGTGTCGGTTTATGGGTTTCGGGGTTTCGGGTTGAGGGTTCAGGGTTTATGTTTTCGGTATTTGCGTAAAAACTCTCCGAAACAGATAAGAAGAATAATCCCTCACGGCCCTATAAGGAAGAATGTTGTTTTTTGTTTTTTTTGGGGGGGGGGGTCTTAAGCGAATAGTGGTTTAGGGTTCAAGGTTTAGAGGGGATCTTCCGGTGTTATTCTCCATTGCGGTCTCCTTTTCGGGTGCCGTAAGCTGTGAGGAATAACCTCCGGGCATTCCCTAAACCCTAAACCCTAAACCATAAACCCGAAACCCTAAACCCTAAACCCTAAACCCTAGACCCTAAACCCTAAACCCTAAGCCCCAAACCCTAAACCCTGAAAGCCCCAAATCAGGATGTCATTGGCCTCCCGCAGGGCATCGCCTGGAGCAGCACGCAGGCAGGCAAGAAGCCCACATGGCAGGGTTTAGGGTTTTAGGGTTTAGGGTTTAGGGTTTAGGGATTAGGGTTTAGGGTTCTGGGTTCAAGGTTCAGGGTTCAGCGTTCAGCGTTTAGGGTTTAGGGCTTAGGATTTCAGGATTTGGGCTTGGGGTTTAGGGTCTCTTCAGAGAATGTCTAGGACAGAGTAGGCCTTTATTTTCGAGTTTAAGGTTTAGGGTCACAGGGCATGACCCACAGTCGGCCCTTTTTCCTTCTTTTGCTAGGGTTTAGGTTCCCCTAGAAGAACCGTTTATTCTCAGGTTACTCTTGGATCTAGATGTTAGAGGTAGTCCTCCCCAAAACCCGAAACACTCAAATCCCCAAGCCTTTAAGACTTCTTGAACATAACTTTGAATTCTTACTGCCCCTTATCCCCTATACATTTCTTATAGATTCTTTATAGGGCCCAAACCCCTAAACCCTCAACCCTACACCCTCAACCCCAAACCCCAAATCCCCATAAGGGTCCCTTATCCCCTATACATTTCTTATAGATTCTTTATAGGGCCCCAACCCCTAAAGCCTACACCCTACACCCTCAACCCCCAAACCCCAAATCCCCATAAGGGTGTCGGGGCGTTCGCAGGAGCGGCTCGTGGTCTCCGACCTCCGCGGGCATGTGCTGCGCGCCGTGGACGTGTCCCCTGGCGCTGCCATGGGAATTGGCCGGTTGCGGGGGAGTTTAGGGTTTAGGGTTTCGGGTTTAGGGTTTAGGGTTGAGGGGGTCGGGGGCGGGGGGGGGGGGGGGGGGTTGTTTGGGGGTGTCGAAGCCCTGAACCCTAAACTTTAGGGTTTAATTAGGGCCTCAAGATTTGTGATTTGAGATTTCATGTGTTGTGGGTTGTCTACTATTGCTTTAAAAACCCCCCCCCCAAAAAAAAAAAAAAAAAAACAAAAACACAAAAAACAAAACAAAATGCAAAAAACAATACTGATCCCTATATTGCCCTGATAAGGAAGAATCTTGCTTTTTTTGGGTGGTTCTTAAGCAACTCGCACGTGCGGCAGGTAGTCCGGGCTTACCAAAGACAACGATCCTTTGGGGTTTGAGTGCCTCTTTGTAGTTGTGTGCAGGTAGTCCTGGCTTGGGGGTTAAAATGGTCAGCTCTCTGTTTTGCGAATCCTTTTGGGCTCCCCTCTGGGAATTTGTTGAAGGTTCGAGCACACACAGAGGGGACCCTCCCCCCGGGGTTGGGTTTAGGATTTAGGGCTTAGGGTTTAGGGCTTAGGGTTTAGGGTATAGGGTTGAGGTTTTAGGGTTTAAGGTCTATCTCTCTTTCTCTCTCGTTCTAACGTTCTCTCGCTCTCTCGCTCTCTCGCTCTCTCTCTCTCTCTCTCTCTCTCTCTCTCTCTGTTTTTCTCTCTCACGGATGAGGAGCGATGGAGCATCTTAGATTGGAGGGCCCAGAATCCCTGAGCCCCAACAGCCCCATACCCCTAAAACCCTTAAGCTTTAACCCCCAAACCCTCAAAGCCCTACACCCTTAAACCCTTAACTTCCGAAGCCCCCTGAGCTTCGAAGACACCCCCCCTCCCCCCCCCAAACCCTAAACCCTCAACCCTCAACCCGAACACTGAACCCCTAAACCCCAAACCCTAAACGCCGAACCCTGAACCCCCAAACCCCATACCCTAAACAACCCTAAGCCTCTAAACCCCAACAAGCCCGCCCTTCGTACGTAAGGTTGGACACTGGCAGCGTGGACATCGTGGCCGGCACCGAGGGTGTGGGAGTTGACGCAGGCCAGCCCTCGCGGGTTTGGAGGGATTAGGGTTTAGGATTTAGGGTTAGGGTTTTTGGAGATAAGGGGGTCAGAGTTTTTAGGGTTTCGGGGTTAGGGGTTTGGGGTTTAGGGGTTTAGAAGTGTGGGGACTTTAGGGTTTAGGAGTTGAGGGTTCAGGGGCTTAGGGGTTTGAGGTTTTGGATTTAGCAAGTTATCGGGCTTTAGGGTGTAGGGGATATTACATCGGTTCGGCGGTATAAGGGTTTGGAAGTTGATCCTTGTCCTAAACCGTAACCCTGATTCGCTCTTTCGTGGGGCATTCGAGACATCGAGCGACCTATCCCCTAAACCCCAAACCCTACAACCCTAGCCTACCCCACAACCCTATAACCCTACAACCCTACAACCCTACAACCCTACAACCCTACAACCCTACAACCCTACAACCCTACAACCCTACAACCCCAAACCCCAAACCCCAAACCCTAAACCCTAAACCCTAAACCCTAAACCCTAAACCCTAAACCCTAAACCCTAAACTCTAAACCCTAAACCCTAAACCCTAAACCTCATGGAGGCGACAATGGGCCAACCGTGCAGGCATCATTGCAGGCTCCGCGGGGGCTTGCCCTTGTTCCTCGGCTGCAGGCCCGAAAGGCTCTTGAAGCCTTCGGGCTTCTAGGGGTTTAGGGTTTAGGGTTTAGGGTTTAGGGTTTAGGGTTTAGGGTTTAGGGTTCTAGGGTTCTAGGGTTCTAGGGTTCTAGGGTTTAGGGTTCTAGGGGTTAGGGTTTAGGGTTCTAGGGTCGAGGGTTTAAGGGTTGGTATGGGGCGATTATGGGGTCTGCGGTGTTTGGGGGTTTTTGCAATTGAGGTCAGAACGTGGCGTTCCGAGGCCCTTGTTAAAGGGACTGCATTCGGGCCCTTTGGTCTTTTGGGAGGGGGGGGAGGAGGAGGGCTTCGAAAGCGTCTTATTCCGAAAGGCCTATGGTGGTACCCATAGAAGGGGATCCCCGATGCATCCCGCAGTGTGCCTGCGCCCGAAGCCCTACACCCATTCAAGCTTCTACCCTAAACCCCCGCGAACCTCGTCCCAAAGCCTTGAAGGGCTTCGTCCCGAAGTTCTGAACCCTAAGCCCTAAAGCCTAGACCCTCAACCCTAAATCCTAAACCCTAAACCCTAAACCCTAAACCCTACACCCTAAACCCTAAACCCCAAACCCCAAACACTAGCCCTAAACCCTTCAGCCCCTAACCCCTAGTCCCTGAGCCCCGAAACTCCCTTAAGGTGGGCACCGCAGCCTTCGTCTCCACCGGTGGTGACCGAATCCGCCGCGTTGACCTGGCTCCTGGGGGGAGTGGCTGGACCTGCAACCTAAACCCTAAACCCTAAACCCTAAAACCTAAACCCTAAACCCTAAACCCTAAACCCTAAACCCTAAACCCTAAACCCTAAACCCCAAACCCCAAACCCCAAACCCCAACCCCTGAACCCCTAGACCGCCGAGTGGGGTGCGAAGTTTATAGGGCGGCTTAGGTTCAACACCTTGGGTTCCTATCTAAACGCTGCCACTCGAATTGAGGAATACGTAGTCCTTGAATTACAAGAAGGATCCATGGTGTGGAAGTACTACCCATGGAGTGGATCTTGGAGGGAAGTCTGGGAACTTTCTGAGCATTGAGGTGAATCCTTGAAGGCGTTTCAAAGGTGATGGTTTGGGCGAAGAGCATCAAACCCTCAAACCTAACCCTAAACCCGAAAACCCAAACCCTACAACCCACAACCCACAACCCACAACCCTAAACCCTAAACCCTAAACCCTAAACCCTAAACCCTAAACCCTAAACCCTAGAGCTGAAGCCCGGCAGCCCCATGAGGCATCACCACGGAGGTCAACAGCGTCGCGCCCCAAGTGCCAAATGAGTGCAGCACGCGCCCCTCTTACTCTACGAGCGCGACTTTAAGGGAACTCAGGGTAACTTATTGTGTTATTACTACTACTATAATATAATCCCACTTCTGATATATTAACATTTGATAATATTACGGATTCAGTAGTATCGATATTTTTAAATATTCCTTGAGTAATCACCATTGGTGCTTGTTTAATAACAGTATTATCAATCATCAGAGAACCAGCACCCAACTCAATCAAAGTTGATTATTATTGTGATTAGTATTATTCTGGTTCCGGTTATTATTATGCCATTATTTGTATAATATCTAATGACCCAATTTAGTCAACCAAAGTCTGCTGCGTCTAGGCCCGGGGAGATGAGCCTTTTTGGTTCTGCAAGTTCACTACAAAAGCGCTTCCGAAGCCGAATCGTTGGGGTTGAAGGGCTTATGGGTTAGGGCTGAAGCCCTAAACCCTAAACCCTAAACCCTAAACCCTAAACCCTACACCCTACACCCTACACCCTAAACCCTAAACCCTAAACCCTAAACCCTAAACCCTAAACCCTAAACCCTAAACCACAGGGTTCCTCTTTCAGCCCTTAAGGCTGGTGTCCGTGGCGTTTGGGGCGATGGCGGTCCGGCCACACAGGCCGATGCGGACAGGGTTTAGTTTACGGGCTTAGGGGTTCAGGGTTTAGGGTTTAGGGTTTCAGGTTTAGGGTTTAGGGTTTAGGGTTTCAGCTTTAAGGTTCAGGGTTTAGGGTTTAGGGTTTAGGGTTTAGGGTTTAGGGTTTAGGGTTCAGGGTCTAGGGTTTGAACCCTTAAACCCCAAACCCGCAGGGTTTAGGGCTCAGGGATGGTTTGGGTTCAGGACCTTTTCGGCATCCCCCTGCAACTCAATCTCCAAGCTCCATCAGCCCGAATCCTTGAGAACTCACCCGTCCTCATCACCCATGCAGATGTTGAGAAATTCTTTCTGGTTGCGGTGGCCGCCGTGGTAAGTTTCAGCTAGAGTGCTACGCCCGGTAGGACCTTGGGACTTGCGACATTCGATCTCTTCCCTTGTTGGGTTTAAGAGGATCATACTCAGGAATATTGTTCAGGGGGGTTTTTAAGGGCCATCCTGGTACAGTAGGGAGGATGTCAGGGCCTGCTAGGCGTTCTTTGCGGGGTTGAGGGTTGCAGCCTTGAGTTCCGGAATCTTCAGGAGTTCGGTGGTTTGTGGCTATAACGGTACTTCTCAGCCCCCTTAGTCCTCTGAGTCGGTAATAAGGGGACTTAGAACTCGGGTTATAAGTACCCATGAACCTCCAAGTAAGGTTCTGGATTAACATCTCCTGCGCCTCCAAGAAAGGTTCTGGACCAAAAATCTCCTGCGAGTCGAAGTCTAGAATGTATTTCTCAGAGCCGGTGAATTGGCTTCTCCTTCACTCCCGGGAGTGTCCCTCCTCATGGACCCTATGCGCCCCTATGCCCGAAACCCTAACCGAGCTGAGCCAGTCACTTTAGGGCTAAGGGTTTAGGGGTTAGGCTTTAAGGTTTTTCAGCTTCAGCGTTGGGTTTAGAGTCCGGGGCCGTTGGAGGGTTTCGGGCATATAAGCTTCAGGGTTTAGGGTTCAGGGTTGAGGGACTATAGGTTGGGACATTCCCCTTTGTACGAACAGTCCTTAATAGGGACTATAGATCGGGGCTACCAGACTCCCTATTCAGGACTGCTAGTATAAGGGGGAACATCCCAACTTCTAGGGGAGTATAAAGGGTCTGCCCGCCTCACAGGCTGAGCTGAACGCGCCGCAGCATGTGGCTGTGCTCCAGGAGTTTTCCATCACCGCAGGGCTTAGGGTTTCGGGTTTGGGGTTCTGAGGTTCTGGGGTTCTGGGGTTCTGGGGTTCTAGGGTTCTGGGGTTCTGGGGTTCTGGGGTTCTAGGGTTTCGGGTTGTTAAGTTTAGGGCTTGGGGTTGTAGGGTTTGGGGTTTTGCGGGCCTAGAAGACTGGAGACTTCCGGTAAATGAGCCCCAAACCCCCAGAGACTCCAAAACCCCTTAATCAAGGAATATCCCTTAAGAATTAGAATAGGAACCCTCATATGATTTTAGGTATATTCCTTAATTAAGGGGTTTTGGAGTCTCTCTGGGCCCGGCAGGACAAGGTGTTCATCGCGGACCGCAACAACCAGCGGGTGCGTCTGCTGAATCGGGGCACAGGCATCCTGGCCTGAGGGGTTTAGGGTTTAGGGTTTAGGGTTTAGGGTTTAGGGTTTAGGGTTTAGGGTTTAGGGTTTAGGGTTTAGGGTTTAGGGTTTAGGGTTTAGGGTTTAGGGTTTAGGGTTCGCATCCTGGCCTGAGAAAAGCTTTTTAAATCCTCTTCCAAAGCCCCCCGCCCCCGGCCTCTGGATCCCCTGCCTGGGCTTAAAACACAAACCGGCTGGTAGGGTTTAGGGTTCAGGGCTAAGGGTTTAGGGTTTAGGGTTTAGGGGTTCAGGATACAGGGTTTATAGGGTTTAGGGTAGAGTTTCGCGTGGTTAGGGTATAGGAGGGCTGACGCCATGGAGTCAGGTTTTTTAGGTTTCCTTTCCAAGAACTACCCTGCCGAAAAGCACCTGAAACCCCGAACTGTCATTCTCCCCAGAAACAACACACACCCAGGGTCTAAGGGCTTAGGCGCTAGGGTCTAGGGTTTAGGGTTTAGGGTTTAGGGTTTAGGGTTCGCACAATGCTTGCCCGCGCCAGGTCAAGCCGGAGCCTCAGGCATCTGCACAAGCGGCCTGCTCCCACAAAGCACAAAGCCCCAAACCCAAACAGAGACCCCAAGCCCTAGTTTTCCGCCCAGGAAAGGCCTAAGCCCCAAACCCCCATACGGAGATTTGGAGAGGCTTTAGGTTTCAATGGCACCTATAGTCATGGTTCAGGGTTTAAGGTTTGGGGTTCCGCAAACGAGCAAACCATCCTAGCAATACTTAAGTAGCACGAATGCTGTCCAAGCACTGTTCGAACCTCAAAGTATAATCAGCCGGGCCTCCTCTCCAAACTTTTCTTCTCCGCCAGATTCGTTTGGCCGTACCTCCCATTGCATCCAATGAAGCATTGATAGGCCAAGGATCTTGTCCCAGCCTGTTTGTGTGTAGCACAGGGGTCGGAATCATGACTAGTAGTATTCCCTTATGGCTCCTATATAAATATCCCCAAAAACTCCGTTCTAATGATTCAGGCCCCTATAGTAGCAACCTGCGCGCGTCACTTGTTCCACGACATCGGCATCGAAAAGCATCCCCGTTGGCGAGCGCCGGCCGCAAGGTCATCCCTGGCATGATTGGAAGTAGGGTTTAGTTTACTGTTCTTGGTGAGTGTATATAAGGTTCCGAGTGTATACCGGGTGTCCCTTTGGGGGTACAAGAAATATACACCCTACTTCATTTGGCCTGCAAGTGTGTTGCTTCTACATCTGACGACGCCCTGTTTCCTGAAGTGCTAATCACAACGTGCAGCGATTTGAGGTTCAAAGGTTCTGCGACCAGTCGTGTGAGGGGCTATGGAATGGATGCCAGGGTATGATCGGTGCTTCGCGTGCAACAAGAGAGCCTTCGCCGTCTTTTCCTGCCAGTACAAGTGTCAGAGGCAGCATCTAACTCGATATTACGTCTGCTGGACATGTAGTAAGAACGGCCGTTGTCTTTGCTGCGGCGGTTTGGGTGGGCACTTGGCTGGTGATTCTGATCTAGAGAGCTGGGAATCGACGGACGATGAGCTCAGCTACCGAGACGAGTTCGACGATGATGGCTGTGATGACGATGACGACGATGACGATGATGATGACACATCTCGGCCGTCAGACCTGCAATCGGATGATCACTACAACAGAGATGTCAAGTGTTACATGCCCGACACCGAGTTCGAACTGGAGGATGGATCCCGGATCAAGGCCCAAGATCTTCAGCCTGGCATGAAAGTGTGCGCGCCCACACTGCACTTCCGATCGAAGTTCACATCGCACAGCGCCATTGACACGGCTGGAGTGCTCCTGACCGGCCACAGCTTCCAAAGCCCAGTTTCAGTGGAGCTTCGGGTCGTTGTCCCTTGTGCCCCACACAGCCGTCAACAGGCAATTCCAGCTTCTCATCTTCGAGCGGGTGAGCGCGTTTGCTGCGAAAGCGGCATCATGGCTCTCACGGAGGCAGAGCCCCTCCTTCTCGACGATGGTCGCAAGTTCGAGGTGACGTTTGCTCCAGATGTTCCTGTCCCTACATTCTGGGTCGGAAAGGACTGACTGATGACGAGAAGCGCAGGGCCTCTGGGCAGGCAGCGCCCATGTCTCTAACGACGCAGCTTCGAGTTCATCACCTAAGCAGAATCTGTTGCTGCTGTCGTTGGGCTCCATTTCTGTGTACAGCTTCTGTATGACTATCTAGTTGGGAGAGAGGTTGTGCACACTACGGTGTTTGCTGGTCTCTCAATCCCACCCCTCGCCGCCGGCCTATCTGACCTATCCTATCAGCCCATCTATCCCCTCGCCTGACTCGGCTGAGCTTCTGTATAAATTGGGAGAGGCATGGTGCGCACTACTGGCCTCTCGCAATTCAGAAATCATCCGTCGCCTTCGCCTTATTTCTATATCTACATGGGAGAGACATTGTGCACACGACGGTGTTTGCTGGTCTCTAAGCCTTCGCCTGACGCCTATCCACCTATCTTCCTTTTGTATCAGCCTATTTATCTATCCCCTTTGCCTGAGGAGGCCTGGTGCATCTGCTGGCCTCTCGCAATTCAGAAGCCATCCCTCGCCTTCTCCTTGTATAGCGTTTCGCAGGCAGAGTTTTGCTCACGGTCTGGTGTGCGCTGAGCAGAAACGAAGTTGTTGCACATGCATAAAGCATTCCGCTCAATCTCTGGGTTACTTTCTCTTGGTCCCACCCTAAACCCTAAATCCTAAACCCTAAACTTAAACTCGAATGCCCTAAACCTCAAGCCCTAAACCCGGGGCCTGAAGAGTGAGTCCTTCCAGTAGCTTTGCCGAAGGCAATCGGGCAACGTACCTTAGGGGCCAAGTGAAGGCTAAACTTGGCATCCCCTTTTCGGGCTCACTCAGTTCCCAAGGTATGTACCCTTCAAAGGGGAGAAGCTTTCCATCTTTTGCCTTTGTTTCACGAGCCTAAACCCTAAACCCTAAACCCTCAACCCTCAACCCTCAACCCTCAACCCTCAACCCTCAACCCTCAACCCTCAACCCTAAACCCTAAACCCTAAACCCTAAACCCTAAACCCTAAACCCCAAACCTTAGCCCTAAACCCTAGACCCTAAACCCTAAACCGAAACCCCAAACCCCAAACCCCAAGCCCAATTTCAAGTCACCGGGCCGCTGACGCTGGAATCGCGTGCGCGACAGGTCGCCATTCACTGGGGCCGAGCGCCGACCCCCCGCATCCTTTGCTAGCCTACGAACGGCTCAAAATTCAGGGGGTTTAGGGTTTAGGGTTTAGGGTTTAGGGTTTAGGGTTTGGGGTTTAGGGTTTAGGGTTTAGGGTTTAGGGTTTAGGGTTTAGGGTTTAGGGTTTAGGGTTTAGGGTTTAGGGTTTAGGGTTTAGGGATCCTTCACCTTTCAAGGGGCATAAAAGGATTGTTGGCTTTCATTTTCGGGGGGTGTTCTTGCACAAATATTGGTAGCATGCTCCCGGCTCAGGGTGTTGGGCGTAAATCCTTAAACCCAAAGCCTTATATGTGTCGTGGGGTTAGGGCTTAGGGTTTAGGACTTGGGGTTTTCGGGCAAGTGTTCAGCGCCTAGGCTCCCGAAGCGCATGGTGTTTCATGATGGCGCTCAGCGGGCTTCCGGGGTTTCAAAGGCTTTGCGAGGCCTCTCTGGGATTTAGGGGTTTAGGGTTTAGGGGTTTAGGGTTTAGGGTTTAGGGTTTAGGGTTTTTGAATTCGGAGATAGGAAGATAAGGATTCTAAACTCTCAGACCTCAACCCGCAACCTTTTTAGATAAGCCCTCCACACCCCATAAACCCTATGTTTGAACCGATTAAAACCGGTAAAGCCGCCCGAACCCTAAACCCTGAATTGACAGAGTCCCGTGGAACTTGGCTCGACTGAGATCAGCAGTGCTGCGGGTCCGCTTGTGGTGAGTACCTCAGGCTGGACCAGGGTACAAGGTTCAGAGACTCTCATGCTTCCTGCAGCCCCCCCAAAAATTATGACTCCTGATAAACCCTAAGCCCTTCCTTAAGAAGCCGAAACCTATTTCTTTGGAGGTTGCCCTACGACTTCTATACGGGATCAGAACCCAGAAAAGTAGCTTCAGGGTTCTTAACCCCCTAAACCCCCTAAACCCCCTCCAAACCCCTAGACCCCCTAAACCCCCTAAACCCCCTAAACCCCCTAAATCCCCTAAATCCGCTAAACCCTAAACCCTTGCAAAACCCTCAACCTCCGACAGGTAGCAAGTTCGAGGCGACCTACTCCATCACCATCGATCCGAACGTGACGTCTGCCAGCCTACCACGGGAGCGCCTTCTTTTTTTTTTTTTTTGGGGGGGGGGGGGGGGGGAATGGCAACGCTCGTCGATGAGCTTTAGAGGGCAGTTCTTGGGGGCTTTGGGTTTCAAGGGCTTAGGGCTTAGGGCTTAGGGCTTAGTTCTTAGGGCTTAGGGCTTAGGGCTTAGGGCTTAGTTCTTAGGGCTTAGGGCTTAGTTCTTAGGGCTTAGGGCTTAGGGCTTACGGTTTAAACCGCCCAAAGCCCAATGCCGAACCCCGAAAGCCCTCAACAAGTAAAGCCGCAAGCAGCCAGGACCTGGTGACCACCGCGCCCGTCGGCGTGACGGTGTCTGCGGATGGCAGCGGCTTGGTGCAAATATAGGGTTTATTGAAATTATGAAGGGTTCAGGTCCGGGGAAGTTTCGAGGAGTTTCGAGGAGTTTCAAGGAGTTTCGTTTTTTGAGTTTTTCTTAATGATTTCAAGTTATAGGGGGCTTGAGGGTTTAGGGTCTGGGGTCTAGGGTTTAGGGTAATCCCAACACAACCCGTAACCCTTGTTGAATTTGCCCCAAGCCCTATTTCACCCTAAGCCCCCCACTCTAAAATTCCAAAAGCCCTAAACTCAATGTATTTAAACCCTAACACCCCAACTCACCCTCAATGCCTAAACCCAACTTTAAGTCCCAAGACTCCAAAAACCTAAAGCCTACGCGAGCCTTAGGCCTGGCGATCATCATCCTAAACCCTAGACCCTAAACCCTCAACCCTAAACCCTCAACCCTAAACCCCAAACCCTAACCCTAAACCCTAAACCCTAAACCCTAAACCCTAAACCCTAAACCCTAAACCCTAAACCCTAAACCCTAAACCCTAAACCCTAAACCCTAAACCCTAAACCCTAAACCCTAAACCCTAAACCCTAAACCCTAACCCCTAACCCCAAACCCTAAACCCTAAACCCTAAACCCGAAACCCTAAACCCGAAACCCTAAACCCTAAACCCCAAACCCTAAACCCTAAACCCTAAACCCTAAACCCTAAACCCTAAACCCTAAACCCTAAACCCTAGGCCTGGCCATCATATCCGATGAGCACTCGGAGTCGCTGCTGGTCCTGGACCTGGCGGTCTCGCCGCGGCGCGTGCGTGTCCTGCAAGGCACCCGGGGTTGGGGGGTGCGTTAACGGTGTGCTTAGGGTTTAGGGTTTAGGGTTTCGGGTTTCGGGTTTAGGGTTTAGGGTTTAGGGTTTAGAAGGCCCAATCCTAAAGCACCAGCGCCTGACTGCTGGAAACATATTGGGTCCTGTTTAGGGGTTTGGGGCTTGGTGTTCAGGATATCGAATTTGGAGCCTCGTCTCCCAAAGCCCTGAACCCTCAACTCCCTATAAGCCCCAACTACTCCACCTGCGAACCCTAAACCCTAAACCCTAAACCCTAAACCCTAAACCCTAAACCCTAAACCCTAAACCCTAAACCCTAAACCCTAAACCCTAAACCCTAAACCCTAAACCCTAAACCTCAGACCCTAGACTTGCCCCAAACCCTAAGCTACTCTGGGCGCGCAGGCATCAGCATGCTCAAGGATCCGAAGGACGGCCTCTCAGCAACCCTGAATTTCGGGTTTAGGGTTTAGGGTTCAGGGTTCAGGGTTTAGGGTTTAGGGTTTAGGGTTCCCAACTCAAAGCTTGAACAGTTGACGGGTTTAGGGATACGGCTTCCGACTGCTTTGCTTCCCGAAGCCCTAACCCTAAATGCAAAACCCTAAACCCTTTACCCTCTAAACCCTAAACCAGAATACCCTCAACCCTAAACCCTAAACCCCAAACCCTAATACCCTCAACCCTAAAGCGAAAAACCTGTTCTATCGAGGCCCCAAACCCCAAGCCTGGTTTTGCTTCAGGACCTACTCCTGGCGCCTAATGGCACGCTCTTCGTGGCGGATCATCAGCAGCAGCTACGACCCGCACTGGCGTTACCTGCAGGTCGTGGGTTTGGGGCTTTGGGTTTGGGGTTTAGGGTTTGGGGTTTGGGGTTTAGGGTTTAGGGTTTGGGGTTTAGGGTTTAGGGCGTATAGGGCTTCGGGCTTAGGGCCCCTAAGCCCTCAACCACCCTATAGCCTGGAACAGGGGAAACAACAGCCCTTAACCTCCGAAACCCTGATTCCCTGAAGCCCTATAACCCCAAACCGTGAAAACCCTGAAACCCCGAACCTAGGATTACAATTCGGAAGCTTCGTGGTTCGTAGCCTCGACTCTGGGAACCAGGTTCCCCCAGAACTCTCTCACAGTTTGGTGATGTAGGGGCGTCGAAGGTGCCTCGAGACTCTATTCCCTCACTCCCTATTTCCCCTAAACCCTAAACCCTAAATCCTAAACCCTAAGCCCTAAACCCTAAACCCTGAACCCTAGCCCTAAACCCTAAACCCTCCAAGAAGTACCTCCTGTTTCGTAGGGTTTAGGGTTTAGGGTTTAGGGTTTGGGGTTTGGGGTTTAGGGTTTACGGTTTAGTGCTTAGGGCTTAGGGCTTTGGGTAGTTTACGGTTTCAGAAGTATCTCTCACCCCTTTTTGGGTTCGGATCCCTGAATACGTACAACCTAGGTCAACCATGCAAGTGCCATTTGTCGTGGGTTGCCTGAGGTACCTCTACACTTTAAATTTCAAAAAGGCCCTCAACCCTGAAGCCCTACCGGGAATTTAGGGTAAGACCCTACACTCTTTCTCACCCGCAAAGTTTTGCAAAGAACACGTGATTTCCTGAGCAGAGGTTTGTGTGTATAGGGCGCCGTTCCCTTGATGGCATTCCACTCTGACTCAAAACACCCGAAAAATCGGACACGCACGACTCTACACCCCTAGATGCACCAAGCTTGCTTTGCCTACCCTTCATCCCGACACCCCAAGCCTCAGCCCCCTACGCCCTAAACCCTAATTCTAAATCCTAAGCCCTAAACCCTAAAAGCGGGGTACGACGAGTGTAGGTAATTGAATCCTCGAGCTCAGGCATAGCATCTTTGCCATGGAGTTGGCCACTCGTCCTGAGGGTTTACTACTTTTTGCTTGAGAATCCCCGCCGCCACCGCCCCCCCCCCCCAAAAAAAAAGATAATAAGAATAAAGTAAAAGGCTAGTACGAACAAATGTAATAATGAAAATATTAATCCCCGGAGTGCCCTTATAGAGAAGAACATTCTTTGCGTGGCTCTTAAGCAAATCGTAGTCTAGGGTTTAAGTTTTTTGGGTCCTGGCTTTCGGGCTTTCGGGCCACGGGTTCCAGAGTTTTTGTTTGTTTTTGTGTTTTAGGACTTCGGGTCTCTTAGGGATGCAGCTCAGCATTCTGCAGCAGCCGGACGTCGGCCATAATTGAACTCTAAGCCCGCCCAAGCCTTCAGCACCGAACCATCCCCCAACGAGGTGTGTTCCGAGGCCGTGTCGGTGTACTCAGGCGCCATGGGTTTGCCATGGCTTGAAGGGTTGAAGGGTTGAAGGGTTTAGGGTTTTTAGGCTTTAGGGTTTAGGGTTTAGGGTCTAGGTTTTAGGGTTTAGGGTTTAGGGTTGCAGCAGTATGCAATCCCATGCTTCATGTATCTGACTAGTAAGTCCTTGGACACCAAAGTTACTACATAGGCACCCAAGCCCTAAATTCCAAGACCAACGTCGTACTCCACAGGGCAAGTATTATAGGGGTCGAACAATCACTAATGGTATTCCCAGATGGTTGCTATCTACTTCTACTACAATAACCCCCAAAACCCTATTCTAATTATGAAGGCCCATATGTTCTCCCTATTTAGGTGGCTTAGGCTGTAGGGCTTGGCATCTTGCCCTGGGTCAGGGTGCGAAGGGTAGAGCGAGAAAGCACGCCCAGCAAGGAAAACCCTTTAAAAGGGGGTCCCTGTAATGAGGGGATTCTATTCCATTTGGGGAAGCAAATGGGTACACCTATTTGGGAAATGCCCAAATCGCTCTCAATCCCAACACCCCCAAAACCCTACAAGCCTATCTTGACCTCCTTCTGGAATCCCAATATAACTCTGAGAGCCCCAGCTAAACCCCCAGCAAGAAAACGCCCTGCCCTAAACCCTAACCCTAAACCCTATAAACCCTGTTAACCCCATAAACCCCATAAACCCTATAAACCCCATAAACCCTATAAACCCTATAAACCCCTATAAACCCTATAAAACCCTATAAACCTGTGGAAGCATGATCCCCACGAGACATCACCGGAATTCACTATATCATCGGCGCTCATGCAGGCTCACAGTGCAAGCATGTGCTGGTGTAAAGCAGGACTTTGCAGGCATAAAAACCATGTCTTGCAGAACTTTGCAAAGCAAGGATACGTCTTGCAGACTTTGCACAAGGAGCTATAAGCACAGCATGTAAAGAAGAACCATGTGCTTGGCTGGTCGTGTAAAAGGTGCCTTTCTCATTTCCGTGATGGTTTGAGCTGTGCCTATCGACTGGGCCATCGATCTTCAGGTTATGAGCCCAAGCTTTGGGTGGCAGGCTGGAAGGAGAGTCGAATGGACCCGCTTATGGGGCGGTGAACGATCGTGCAGCTGATCAGTCTGGACCAGTGCTGAATGGATGGTTGCCAGGGCAAGCGAGAGGTGAAGCATCTGGACAAGAAGTTCAGCCTGGAGCCACGCCGGATCGGATCGCGGTTGGAGCCAACGAAGCCGGATCGGGTGCGCGTCACGACGGGAACATACAGGAACACCGTACACGTGCACAGGACAACATGCTGCAGCAGCACACAGAACAACAACTGCAGCAGCCCTTCCAGGTTCCCCACCAAGACCCTGCTTTGACTCCGCAGCAGCAAGCTCAGAATGTACTTCGGCTACCAGAACAACTGCATCCTGCGAGGCCCTTAGATGACGGAGAGGTTCGGGAACATTCTGTGATGGAGACCACCCAGGGTGTCTCAATGCAGGTGATGGCCACGACGAACATCTCTCCACCAGAAGAACTGCCTCAGCGACAAGAAGGAATGAACGCAGGGCAAGCAGTTTGGATGGTGCGACTTGGAGAGTTTCTGCAGCGCCGTGTATCTCAGGCGGCCGCAGCGGTGGCACCTGTTCTGGAAAGACAGCAAAGGACCCCTCGTGCTTTTCCATCGCCGCCAGCAAGCTGGGCTTCACAGATGGGCCCGGAGCCCCCTCTCTTCACACCAGAGGCGGAAAGTGCGATGCAGCAGTGGACACAAAGGGCACCGCTGTTGTATGGATGGGGTGGTCAGCAAGGGCCACCGATGCCGAGGGAGGCTACATCTTCGTCTGGCTCTTTGACTCAGGAGCAGATCTTGGCCGAAGTGCATCGTCAAGTGCAAAGAGCAATGCAAGGACACCAGCAAGAGATGAGAGCATTGGAACCGAAAATGCCAGACTTCGAGCAGAAGTCCAAGAGCAAGGCCGGATGAGTGTGGAGCCAACCCTTCAGCCAGACCTACGAGGAGGCAATCCCCCTGGGTGTCCTGGAGGTGGAGCATCGGTTGAGATGCTGCACGGACAAGACCTGCGAGGACCTCCACGGGATGCTCGTGTGGTGCGAGTAGAAGATGGCGAAGATGGTCAAGGCTCTGGAAGCTTGTCGGGGCCTCCGGGGCTTACAAGGAACAGCTTTGGAAGCCGGGGTGTGAATGAGCAAGGTTACCGTGAACCTTCCAATGTACACGGGGGTGATCCTGCTTCAGGTCAACCGGGACATGGAGTTTCTGGAAGCAATCTTCTTGGAGGTCAAGGAGTACAGAATGTGAGTTCTGGGGAAGCTGCAGGATCGAGTGGTGGGGGAGATGAGAAATCCTCTGCTAGAGGAGGAGCGGCGCCGGGCAAGAGCGCAACAGATCCTTTTGGCATGTTGGCTCAGGGCATCGCTCAGCTCCAGAAGGCAATGAGTGCCACGATCGCGATCAAGGCCCAAGAGCAGGAGCAAGTGAAGCCGGGGATCTCAGAGTTGCCGAAGCTACCGGAACTGTCGGAGACATCCTGCATTGATGTGGGAGATTGGCTACATTCCCTAGAGTGCCCCATGGGTGATTTGAGCAATGGCTCTGCGGTTTGGTGGAGCGAGACCCTTCAGTGTTTGGATCGTTTCTATGAGAGCTACCTGAAGAGCTCGAATTTGGCGAAGCTTTCGTTGAAGCCGGAGACTTTTGCCACGATCATGCTGAAGGAGGACAAGTGGGGCAGGGTAGACAAGAGGGCAACATCGATGATACTCGCGGCCTTGCCTGAGTCTGTGAAGGCCGAGGTGCTGGCGTCAAGACTCACCGGCACATTGCCGGTATTGGGAAGGGTCATGGTCTTGTATAGACCTGGAAGTGCTGCAGAAAGGCAGCAGATCTTGAAGGCTTTGGAGTCCCCCTCAACGGCGACATCGGCGACGGAGGCTGTGGATCAGCTGAGGAGATGGTCACGATGGCTACGCAGGGCAGGGGACATTGGACTTCAGAGGCCGGACGCAAGCGTTCTTCTCCGAGGGCTGGACAACATATCCAGGAAGGTCCTCCTTGAGCATGGGGAGATCATGTTTCGTATAAACATGATGAGGTACACTTTGGAGGTGGATGTGAAACCGACTCAGGAGTCTGTCCAGGACTTGCACCAGGCGCTGTTGTCCGAGTTTGAGCAAGTGGCTTTTCGTGGAAGAACCAAAGGGGCAACAACGACGGCTAGTATGAGAGCTATGACTGCATCCTCTACCACGGGTACCCCTCCTGGAACTGAGGCTGCTGGCAACCCAGGCGAATCTTCGCCTAGCAAGTCCAAGGGACCACCATGCAAGTTCTTCCTCACAGATCAGGGATGCAGACGAGGAGCCGCATGCAAATTCAACCATGAGGTTGAGAAGAAGCTTCGTCAAGGGCGGTGCTGGACTTGCGGTAGCAAGCAACATGTTGCCAAGGCTTGCCCAACGAAAGACAAGGGGTCACCGTCGAAGGCCCAAGCCAAAACGGGACCAATGAAGCCAGAGACTGCAACTTCAGCGAGTGCTTCATTAGCTGCCATAGCGCCTGAAAGTGCTCACCCCGCACCGCCAACGACACCAAAGGCCTCGTCTCCAATGCCTGGAACGCCCTCAGCCTCGTCCTCGACCGTGGATCTTCCTCAGGGACAATCTTCGTCTACTGCTTCTGCGTCGGGGGACTTACGAGATCTACTACAAGAGGCGAACACCATGCTGAAGGAGATGAGGCACCTGAAGTTGTTGACGGTAAAGGATGTGATGGCACAAGCAAGATCGCTCGGCTGTCAAGACGAAGAAGGTCGCACTGGTCTTTTGGATTCGGGGGCCTCCCATCCATACAGGGAAGGCACTGTGGAAGAAGTAAGGGAGTCAACAAGCGTCAAGGTGCAGTTGGCAAATGGCGAGGAGGTCACCTTGGCACAGAATCGAGCGGGAACCCTTTTGGCGACGAGGAGCTCACCGAACGATAGAACAGCGCCAATAGTCCCTCTTGGCTCCCTCGTCCAGGACCTGAACTGCGAGCTGACTTGGGGACGGAAGAGAGGTTTGGAGATTCGCCACCCGATCCACGGGACGATTCGGCCGGTTGTGGTGGATAAGTGTCCTGTCATTGGCGAGACCCAGGCTCTGGACCTCATAAAGGAGCTAGAAGCGAAGAGAGTGGAGGAACTAAGGGAGAACACCAGGGCGACTCAGAAGGCGTTGTGGCTTTGGGATGAGACAGCGAGGTGGGCAAGGCATCTTGAAGTTTTCCTCCAGGACGGAACAAGGGCAAGGCAGCTGTTGGCAATGGAGACGGATGACTCACCTTTCAAGGACTTAGAAGCATCTACAAAGGCGGCCATGGCGGAGGAGCTCGCTTTGGATGATCGAGCAGGTTGGAACTACCTGAAGGCTCTTCCAGTATCGCGAAGGAAGAGGAAGCAGCTGATGAGGTGCCAGTGGGTCGTCAATTTGTTCGCTGGACCAGGTCCTGACACGGCAGAGTTCAAGAACATAGATGGCGACAGCATGCTAGTGGAAATGGATATCACTAGATCCAGAGCTTTTGACATGAGAAAGTCGTCAGGAGCCTACCGGGCACTGCTTTGGGCGGCGGCTACTGGAAGGGTCAAGGGAGTGTTGTCGTCGCCGCCGATGAGATCCAAGACTGATGAGGAGCTGGTGGCAAAGGCCATGTGGTTCTCTTTGATTGCAAAGGCAGCCAGAGCGACCTTGGACCGACCACCACCCTTTGTGCCGATTGAGGGCAAGAAGGTTTTAGCCTACATGCAGACGGATCCTCAAGCAGGCTTGAAGTTGTCGTGGAAGTCCTTTGTTGAGGTCATGTGTTTGGAGAACCAAGGGGAAAGCATCGTGACGAACCTCGACTATGACAAGGAGCTGAAAACTGTAACGAATGGAGGTGGCCGGTGGACGATGTCGTTCAAGGAGGAGACGGCGGAAGCGATGAAAAGGTGGGACAAGGTG